CCGTAATGAGCGCGATTGGGCGCGCCTATACGTCGCCGTATCCGATTCTACGGACGGTTTCGAACGATCTATTCGTTCAAACAAATGACTCGTTTCATTGGCTTTTCCTATAATCCCTCCCCTTACAATATCGAATCCAATTTCTGGTGAAATTTACAAATTGAATTTTGCAAATATGAATATTATCAGCTTCCTTACACTTGAAATAAAATACTGTCTTTCTCTTGTCAACTATTTAATAGGTAAAGGAAATAAAGATATACTACCAATATGGCATCTTTTGTTTTTGTAGGTAACTGTTTAGAATAAAGCAATTTTTACAAATATACCTGTAATAAAGATTGTAAGGCAAGTGGTTAAAGATGTTCTAAGATATCTCCAGCAAGCATCAGAAACATTTTATCTACACCGAAGCAACATAATCTAAGGAACATTTAAGTTTCATTTCAATTTAAACATTTATATACTACATTCGTCGAAACAACAGAAACAGAAAAAAGTCTAGAGAAATATTCAACAAGAGCATCGACATTTTTAATACACATACAAGATCAACAAAATCTTGCTAATCGCTGTTTGACGCGGCAACACAGCTTAGCCAGTTAAGTGCGTTTGACGAGTAAACATGTCACCTTAAAACTCTAAATGGTGTTAACTTTTTCAACGATGAATTCTTTACTTTTTCAGATAAATATGTAATTCTTCTTTGTTTCGCTTTGGTGTTTCATTAAAATATACCCTAGGTGCATTCTCCTTGCGTTTGACAAGTACACACTTAATTTTTTTCATTTAATTGCGCGCAAAATGAGAGATTTTTTAAACTAAATTCCATAGTTAACAGGTTAATCAACGGAACTGCAAATCCTTTTCTCGCCTGGCACACTTTTCATAAATAATTAACAACTGCCGAACATGCAGTGAACGTTCAAAATTATTCTCAAATTTTTCGCCCCAACAAAAAGCAGTTGTACAGCCGAGAAGCATACAATTACGGATGTTACGATGCTAATATTTATTCCGCTCCTTCCGCTCGGGATCCCACCTAACGGAATTCATTTTTTCCTCTAGGCCATTCAAGAGTTCCGCGTGTCCATTAATCAACGTTTAGAAATCATTTCTCAATACGCGTCGATTGGTTTATCGATATCCGTTCCAATCGATCGATGATCAGCAAATACGGTCTCGCCAACAGCGGCGCGGAACTCTGATTTACTGGCGACCCTGATGGCGGACGCCGATGGTTGGCCGAGAACGAAGAAAAATGACGAGGCGGAGGAGCCCAGCGAAGAAAGACGAGGAATTCACCGCGGAAGATGAAGAAGAAGGCTGGCCAAGGCGAGCCACGCGTGTAACAAGCGTCACGAGCATTAATTCAAAATAAGCTCTACGACCCAATGCAAATCCCTCGTGTACAGGAAACCCTAAGAAGCCGCGTAGAGTATGAAACCACCGCCCCTCTTTCACGTCTACGTATGTATCGCGCTTCTTTCCTTTTCACCGCACCGCTGAAAACTATTATCCCACGTCGCTCGGTTCGCGACTACCGATAAAACGCATTTCTCGTTCTTCTTTTGCGTCGGTTCTCTGTACCACTGCTCGGTATTCAATGCCCGTAAGCCTGACACCCCGCGGTACCGATCTCTTCACCACGTCCGGTGCTCGAGAAAATAAGGGACGAGGTGATAATATGAAACGCCTTTTTTGTTTCAGAGGAAATAAGTAATTTTAAAGCCTCCTGTCGCGTAAGAAGACGTCCACGGTGTTAACTTTTGTATCCCTTTGCCATGTATTGTTGGTCCTTCGAATAAAAAATAAAACTGAGGGGGTATAACTATTTTTAAAGGTGTACGTGAAACAGGTACGTATACACCTGTAATGGGTACAATTTAGAAATCTTTTGTGAGAAGTAATCGACGAATGAAAAGTTTTAAATTTTTATCGAAGGATGTACAGAAAAGTTTCAAATTTGTTTCTTAATTCGTTTAGAAATAGAAATTTAGGGATAATCAAGAAAAACTGGGACGGATTTAATTACATCATAAACAGATGTGTATTATACTTGCAAAAACAGTGATAATTTAAGAATCTTTTTTATCCCCGAAAAATGAATTTGATGAATTTCTGAAGAATCAGATAACTGAATGAAATTATTTCAAAAATCTGAAGTCAATCGAATTAATAAATTTGCCAGTGAATCTCTGAGATTATGTGATTAAAATTAAAGAGTTCAAACACAATGGAAATCGAGCTAGTTTTACTGACTTAATGTAATCGACGAAATTAAAGGTTTATTTCCCCAAAATCGATAGAACTAGGCCAATTTATATCGTGTTTGGACTCATTTTAATGAGAAGAATCACAACAACCCGCCGGTACTAGGTTTGCAAAGCTAAGGTTAAAATTACTGCAATTCAAATTTTCTTCATTGCATGTTCTTATTCGACACGTACGGCATCACTTTAAAGTCCCGCATCTCAACCCCCAATGCTTGAAGGATTGTGTCTATCTCGCTTTCACTCACTATATTGATTCCCTGCCTTCGTCACGGTGTAGTCGAGTCAATTCATAGAAGCATATATAGTTTCGTCCCTTTTTTTCTGATCAGTTAAATTCCACTGCTGGGACCCGAAGTTATGGAATTTAATACAGGAGAAACTTTATTTTAAATTTAAGAATGCAAAATATTCTTTCTAAATAAGAAAGATACAATTGTTTAGTTGTAAAATGAGTGCACAAAATATAAGTATAATCTCAATACATGTATTTATTTCGCAATAAACCCACAATTATCCGAATTCTGATGTCTCGAATGAAAAAATATAACTTTTTCTGTATTACCGTCAACGTCATTCTCGAAAAACCGTGATAACTCTCAATAAAGAGAAAGAAGACTACAATCTTGTTACTATCCCACCTCTATGGTGTCATACATGATGATATAAATTATGTTATAGATGAATTTGTTATTTATTTAGTCTGGTTGATAAAGCTACGTCGAATGTCGAATATGTTGCTTCACAAAATTCAGCTTCACCTTAAGCTATAGATTATAGCCTGAGACAAAGGTATAGCATATTTTTAAATAAATGTAATATTAAATAAATAATATGAAACAGATAAATATTACAATCATTTCAAAGTATACTATAATTTTGTCTTAGGTCGCAAACTATAGCTCAACTACTAGGATTACGCTCCAAATTAGATTACAGAACAAAACTAAGGTCAATAGAGGCTCAGCTCTAATTTGAACTACACTTAGGCTGATTACTAACTCATTTACTGATTATTAACTCGTTTACAAATTTATCGTCTTATACAGTAATAATGGGTGCACTCGACGACCACTGACCGAAGGTGCAGTGCAAGAGCTTAGCCATATAAGTGCCAGTCTACCGGTGAATTTCGAGCGGATCGCACAGATAAATTTCAAGTCTACCATGTATACCGTTAAGCCTTACAATGTTCACTTGACATTTTCTTCTACATGTTTCTCCGTAAAAAGTTAAAATGAAGACGTAATATAGACAATATTTTAGATTCAACGATAAAAATGGTTAAAATACTTTTGAAACTTACCTACCTTATATAAACGTTTCATTTTTAAGAAATTCAAAGTAGAACTTAATAGTTAAAATAACTGCATTTATCTTGTACTCGTGGTTTTTTCACTCTATGAAACGTAATATTATTCTATTCTAAGTGAAGCACTATTTATTAAGTTATCAAAAATTACTTTGATGTAAATATTACACAATTAAACGAGCGCACATGGTTTTGATGTTGATTAAATTAAAAGCCAACCGATTGTTATATAAGAATTGCCACGAATTTGTTCCGTACAAATTACTTCCTACTCCATAAGTTTCGTTAAAGAAATAAATTTTAAACCTTTTCTTCTGATGATACTGCACATACATATCTTTTCACATTGCGTAATAGCTAACGAAACAATAAATTCAGCAGTCTATAATAAGGTTGGACTGATAACCTTGAATTGATCTTGAGCCTTAACACATTTGCGACCACTGTCGAATTTGAAATACTCACTGTGGACCTGTGCCTTTCTTGCAATTGTTTCACGTAACATGCTATTCAAATTGTTATTATACGTTTAAAACATAGTAAATAAACCAAACGAAGCATTTTACATAAATGTCATGTATGTATGATATCTTAACACATTGAGCGCCGGCCCCGTGAAAACGCGGGATTCTGAGTCTGTCGCTTGAGTGCCGGCCCCGCAATAATGCGAATTTCTGGATCCGTTAAATTGTATATGACGAATATGCAATTAAAATGTACTATTTTACAAAAATGTATAATGTTTTGAATACTTTTTTTTTGGCTACTCATTGATCATGTAAGTGGCCGATACATTGCCGGCGCTCAGGCTTTAAATGTCTCTTAGGTCGCCGGCGCTCAATGTATTAATATAGCTAAAGCAATAATAGGGTATACTATACGTCAAATATATGTTATGTATCATCATAACAACGGTAATCAATAGCGTTACACATACATATGTGACGCATGGTC